CCCCTTTCCCCTCAAACGTCATCGCTAGTGGATCAACGCAGCGCAGCCTACAGCTAGCGTCAGCATCGTCGACAGAGCGTCTCGCTGCAGCGTCTCACAGCGCAAGCGCGGCGAAGCCAAGGAACTTTCGCGGCGGGTATCGTCGAGTCTCAGCGTCTTTGCCGCTTGGAAAGGATCGGCGGGGCCACTAACGGTGACGTCACGTGGCAGGCCTTGACCTACGTGATACTGGCTGCAGCGGCGCTGCGTGCTATGTACCCGTATGCGACGACGAAGAGAGAAGTTAGTCGGCGAAAGTTCACGAACCCCCTCCTCGCGAAGTTTTGACCAAGCGCGTCGAGCGCCCCCCTTTTTTTTTTCGCGGAGACCCCGACCCGTACTCGTATAGTACGCTCGCCCCCCTCCCCCGCAGCAGTGGCAGCAGCAGGAGCATCCACCCAAGCTTGCACCACGCGTCGGCGGCGGAGCGTCGCAGAAGGACGATCCTCTCGTAACCAGGCGTCTTCTTCGGGAAGGAGGTCGAAAGGGTCGCTGGTCGCGAACACGGGAACCACGCGTTGCGGTTCCCAAAACCCGCTTCAGACGCGACCAATATTTTTTTTTTTTTTTTTGTTCCAGCGTTTTGACGTTGCGACTTCAACCTCGCGGTCCTCCCGCGTTCACACGCAGCTACTGCACGAAGGCTCGAACTGCTGCAACCTCGTAATCACGCTGCAATTGTATTGCCACGATTTGCCGTCATCGTCGTTAAATTTAAAATTTCTCGCGCTTTGTAGACGCATAATTACGGCGCTATAAACGCGTTTGTATATATCTTTGTATATAAAAGCTCCAATAGAATTCTTTGTGGACTCCGGAGCAAAAGTGAACGTGATGGGAGAGCAAACCTAGTACAAAATCTCCACGTGCGACTGGAGAAGACGACAACACGGCCAGTACCCTATCGGTGTCGCCGAAGAAATTCCAATCGTGGGAAGGTTTACCGCGACATTCCGCTCCCAAGAAAAGTGTGTCCAAGCGCCAGTGTACGTCTTGAAGGGATCACGAGCCTCGCTATTGTGCTAACAAGACGGCCCAGCACTGAGGCCGCTCAAAATTACCCAAACAGACCCAGAAGACACCACTGTCGACGCAAAAAAGGGTTTTACGAAGTTGCTGGCAAATTTGGTCGACGGAAAGACTTTCAGGTGAAGCTAAAGGTCTCGGTAGATGTGGAAACAATAGCCCGACAACACCGTCGGATCCCTCTTCAAATTATGAAGGCACTGGAGACCGAGCTGACAGGCCTAGACGACCGTAGACAGCATCAAAAAGGTGAGCGCGGACCCACAACCCATTCTCATAGTCGCCAAATTCCACGACCACCAAGCGGTCAGGATGTGTGCAGACATGAGAAAAGCAAACGAAGACATCGCCCCGATGAGCAGAACACCATGCCCCCCCCCCCCCCCCCCCCCCATAGCATCCTAAACATCAGCATCCTAAACGGCGCAGCATACTTTTCGAAGCCGGATTTGAACGAACGTTATCATCAGCTTGAGCTAGATGGGAACTCCCGGGTGATAACAACGTTCTATATGCCCACTGTGGCCTGAGAAGTCACAAGAGTCTGTTGTTTTGGAGCCAACGTTACAGCAGAAATCGCCCAGGAGGCCATATGAGAAGTGCTTCCAAATGATGATGGCATCATCAACAATAGCGACATCCATGGTGTCAGGTCGCACGCTGGAAAGAACAAGACCGCCGCCTGCGCCTAGAACTGAAACACCTCGAGAATGCTGGCCTCACACTGAACAGCAAGACGTGCATGCACTCTAGGCGCCAAGAACCTGAAGTTTCTATGCTTTTTTCTGCCAGTGGGGTCGGTGTGGATCCCGAAAAAGGTGGAATCAGTCACGAAGATGACACCACCAAGAAACCCAAACGAGGCCAGAAGCCTCTGGGTATGGTGAACTACTGTAGTAGGTTCATCCCTCGCCTTGTCAGAATGGTGGAACCACCGTGAAACCTGACAGCTGCCGACACAAAAGTTTTGTTGCACGGATCAGCATAAAAATACCTTGGTCAATGTGAGGCAAGAAATGTTAAGAACACCCGCCTTTTTCTGTTTCGATGACACACAGGAAACCCACGTCATCACCAACGCGGGACCTAAAGGAGTGGCAGGTGTGCTGATTCACGAGGTGCCAGGAAAATGGAAGCCCAGCATTTTAGCGCACTACAGCAGGACATTGACGCGAACAGAAAGAAGGTACCCACAGCTAAACGAAGAAATGTTGGCCATCGTATCTATTGGCCGTCGGAGACTTCCACATGTAGCTGCTGGACGCAAAACTCTCAGCAAGAATAGGGCGCCTTAGTTTCTGGTCGCAGCACGACCACTTCAACATCCAGCATATTTCGGGGAGAGAAGACCCAGCAGACTACCTGTCGAGGTACTATCCAAGAGACAAAAAGGCAAATTCAACAAGAGAAATCATCGCGACAGGTGAATACATTCCTTTCGTCCTGGGAGCATCTGCACCCAGAGTATACAATAGTGACGTTAAAATGGAGCTTCTTATCCGAGACTTAAAGACAAGTAACTGAAAGACCTACGACAAGCTCTGGGTAGATGAGAAGTTAAAGCATTTTGTTCAAATCAGAGAGGAACTGATGGTTGCTGGCTACAACGTTGTGCTGCGAGGAACAGGATTGGTAGTTCCAGACAAGGTGCAGGCACAAGCACTACGACTAGCACACCGAGGACACCCAGGAAAAGCAAAGACTAAACAGTTGATCAAGGACGTAATCTAATTTACAGGAAGTTACTGGAAAGTGGAGGCGGCAGTCAAGAACTGTGAAGCATGCCAGAGAACTGTGGTAGGGAGATAGAGCTCGCCACCCCCTGGCAGCTGATTTTGCTGGCACCCTGCCTAGCAGAGAGTACTCACTCGCGGTAGTTGATGAGTGGATTCACCTTGGTCGCCACTCTCTCCTCGTTAACCACAAAGGCTGTGAAAGCGAAACTGACTGAAATGTTCTCGATCCGCGGGATGCCCTTCAGGCTGAAGACAGGCAACGGCTCCCCTTTCTTCAGGAAGGACTTTGCAAGAGTTTTCCGAGTTCACCATCACCGTACGACACAGCTCTAGCCTCTAGCCGACGGCGAAGCTCAGAGGTTCTGGAACACTAAGAAGACGGTGAAAAGTTCTGGTGTCACTGAAAACCGCTGGGAGACAGAGTTCTAAGAATACCTTCTGAACTACAGAGCAACGCCGCACTCAACAACTGGCCACACACCAGCGGAGCTCCTCCTTGTAAGAAATATCTATACCTTAACTTCCAGAAAAACTCTGTCATGGGAAACTTGAAGCAATGGATCAACACAAGCAACAACATATGAAAGACTACACCCATGAGAAACGTCTCGCAGTGCCACATAAACTCAAGAAGGGGGACACCGTGCTGCTGAAGCGACAGTCACCGTTGTCACACATAAAGCTGCCTACGAACCCTGACCATACAGAGTGACGAGAATACAAGCGAAAGCAGTCACGGCTGAGCACGAAAACAGAAGGGTAATCAGAAATGCTTCATTCTTCAAGCACGAAGCACGATCGACCCACCGGAGGCTTGGAAGACTGGTACATGCCCGACACCTCGGTAGAGGAACAACAAAACGACAGCGAAGACCCACCTGAGGCCGAGTCGGGCGTGTGCCTTGCGCCCTAAGACACTGAGTACCCGCCAGAGGTCGAAATCAAGCGCTATCTCGAACGCCGATCCCGCAGGAAGTTGCCCAAGAAGCTGGCCGACTTTGTACTCGACTAGAGAACTTTCTTTAAAAGTCGAGGGGGAAATGTGTCGCCGCTGAACCTAGCTCCACCTACTCGACTGGAGAATACGGGCGAAAGGAGGCCAAGCCGAGTCGGAAGGAGGGACACTTGATGGAGCCGGTGTGCAAGTCCTGCGATTCGTACCAGTAGAGTAATTCTTCGCTAATCTGGTGTCAAGCAGCTAAATAGGAGACGTCACATACGAGGCGAAGATAGCACAGATCGGTTGGGTTCCAAGAAATAATGTGCGTGATCAAAAACAATTCGCTTAGGGGTGAATTGGACTTGCCTACACTTTGAGTAGTTCAGACACATCAACCAGACGGCACAGCAATTCGTTAGGGCAATTAAATCATTCTAGGAGTGTATGTGGTTCATGGACGAATTAATTGCGTGATATAACACAGCCATATGTGCAAAATGCCGAACTTTCGACGTGATGAAGCGAGGGAGATCATCAATGAAAATAAGCAAAAAGAAGAAGGCAAAAACTAAGCCCCGAGGAAGCTCAGACGTAACGTTACACAGTAAATATTACTCACAGAAAATTGTATCTGACAAGAAAGAAAGCTACGAGATCATAAAATTATATGGTCGTCAATTTTAAGGCTCGACAGTTTTGTTAGTAAACGTAAAGGAGGGACTGTTAGTAAGCGTTGATGAGGATATTCAGTGTTGGGTAAAGTACATGTAAAAAGTACTTGAAGTACAAAGTAAATGAGAGGTTGTGTGTTTCATGTAAAGTAGTAAGTGCACCGGGCGCAATGTACTTGAAGTAAAGCACTATAAATGCAATGTGCTCTCAAACGAAAGTACAAGTACTTTTAACACGATATTTTATAATGCCCTTTTATTC